TTTTTAAAAAAAAAAAAAAAAAAAAAAAAAAAAAACTAGATTGCTACATCATTCCTGCTAATCTAATCTTTCTTTGCACATCCTCATTCCTTCCTTTCTTCCTTCCTTTTCCCCAATCCTTTACTATCACACCCTATTCTATTTTCTCTTATTTTCTCCAATTTTCTCTTTCCCGACTTTCTCGAAACGTCCGCGTCTATGCATAATTTTCAATTCCGCCAGATGCTCGCGTGCGAACCTGTCAGACGTACCGCGATCACCGCAGGGTTAATAGGATCGTAGAATAATGGATTACCTACCAACACACGAAGTACGAATAGGCGGCACGTGGAACCAACACGTGGAAAGCACGCGCGAGCAATCTTCGTAAAAGCGGCAGAGTATATCTTGTCAAAGGGAACGGCTGATAAGGGACGGTGGTTCAATGGTATTTCGTGGCGCCGTCGCAGACAGGGATCGTGGTGAAGGTTTTGGACACGGGGAACTTTGGTATGCCGGATCTAAGTTTATTGTACTGATCGCTGTGCCTGGCTACACATGTGAAATTCAGCGCAAAGCCAATAATGAAATCGTGGAATATATCTCCGTTCGTATATATCGTTCGCACGACCTTCGGGCCGCGTTCGATTTCTCGACCGACGATCGAACTTGGGAAGAGGGCAGCCTCTTTCGTCTTGTAACAACATGTATGTACTTTCGATAGACAAAATAATTCAGCTGTCTGTATTGAAAGGGAAATTTATTCTTTTAGCAAATTTATACAGTATCGTTACGTACTGTAACTTTCTAGATAGTTCTTGTTGAAGAAGAGCTTGCTCGAGTTTTTGAAAAGAGACACAAGAAAAATGTCGATCATCGAACCGGCCCGGAAAGTCGCTGAACCAGTGGTCATCGTGAGACCACGCGAAGCGTACGAAACGGACCAATAGTAACAGATATCCGGGGGGAAAAAAAAAACAAAAAGAAAGAAGAATATAAATGTTCAACGAGTATATATGAACCATCGAACAGACTCACCGGTTGAATCGAAGTCGCCGTCCAGGGGCCTGAGAGGCCTGGTGATGCTTTTTCTCTTCGACGGGGAATGTTTCAATGCTGAAACACAAATCGGCACGTTGTTAGTACACGTCGCAGTCGTGGCGCGCTCGGCGCGAAGGATTGCAAGAAAACATCGATAATACTCATGGAAGTCGGAACGATTAATTGGAGAAGAGTTTCAGAACTGGTGCCTATGTATCGTAAAAAATGGGGTATTTGTCAAACGAGTTAACGCTACAAAAGCTGACGTCAGTACCGTAGCAAGTGTTGGCTTATGCGTGAAGCGTCGTACTTTGTTTTGAGAAAGTTTCCTAGCCGCGAGATAAATCGTATTACGCACGCGTTTGTTGTACGGGCTTTCTATTTTCGCACCGTATATAGCATTATTAGCATGCCCTCGACGCCTTCGAGATCGTTCGGCAATCGTTATCGTCTCGATGCCGACTCACTGCGATAAGTGACGATCGAGAGGACGTTGGAATTATCGGGCAAGTCACGGTACTCGTAATTACGAGATTTAATAATTTTTGGAAAAAATGAGTCTCCCGATTGTGATCCTCTGTGATCCTGCCTCGACATTTCATTACGTTTGACTCGATTCTTCTGAGAGTTTTTTTAACAGACGAAATATACTTTTCGTAAATCGTAAAAAAAGAAAATGAAAGTTTCCACTCCGCAGAAGTATAATTGCAAAAATATATGCAAAATTCTATTTGAAGTAAGTACATTACTAAGCTTTCGAGAACAAAATGTCGAGCACCACCAAGACCACAAAGGGTCAACTTCTTCAATCCATGAAAATGTCCAATTCATTTCCCATTCAAAGTAAAGTGAATCTCGCTACAGCACTGTCTGCCACGGCTACGTCTAACAAACTCTTCCGCAACGTTTGGAGCTACGCTTTCTTTGATCTCTCTACGGTTATCGGACAGGGATAGGCGTAAACGACGAAACTACTACTGGAAAACGAGGGGGGAATTATCCCCCTCGACACTATTCTAATCTCCTCTTCAACCTCTACCATAAGTACAATCGTAAATGGATAGTCTAACAGTCTAGTCGACACAACACCAAAAGCTTCTCTGTCGTTCCCTCTTCGAAGTTCGATCCGACACGAGAGATCTGAATCGCGAGAGGGGTGGCTTTTGATCTTCCCTTAATTCTCGCATAGTCGCACGATCGTGTGTGTCACTACATTCTCCTCGTCCTATGTAAGTATAAAGTACATGCCTCTGTATGTATATGTGTGTGCATACAACATACGTACATGAACACACAGCGTGGCGTTCGCAGACGCAGTGGTTCGTTCGATTTCTCGCGATCGATGAACACGTTTCTAATCGGTCGAACACGCCTCTACTGGGATTCTATCGGGCCGTTTATGCGCCGTGCACGTTGCGTTCAGGTCTGATTAGAATCCGGATAGACAACGAAGTTAACTAGAACGAGCCCGCGAGTCTCGACCATGTGCTACGGATCTATGGAAAATTATTCTGATACACGGGGGTTGGGAGGGGGGAGGGGAGAGGCAAACTAACTAAGGCACGCAACCAGCCGCTCCTTTCCTTTGTCGAGCTTCACTCACTCGATTCTGACGAGAATTCGCACCATCGGGCAATTTCAATTCGAATTGTACACAGAGTGTTCGCGCTATTAGCTCTCGGCGACTGACAGATTTGCGAGAAAGATGAGAAAGAGCAAAAATTGTCGTTGTCCGAACACGTTGTAATTGCTCGGGAGATCGCGAGTGTGTTTTTGTTTTGTTGTACGAGAGAAATTGCACTCCGTGCAACGAGACTCTTTTTGATGATCTTCACCCTCTGCGCTCGAAATGCCAGCACCGAACTGGCATGAAGTTTCATCCCGGCAACTCGGAACTTGTTTCAAACGGTAAGCTGTAGAAAGCTACAAGATGTGAAATTTTATCGATAAATTTCGTCAATTAAAAAGTCACCCTAAATTTTTCGCAATAATAAATTCTATTACATCACGAAATGTGAAAAATAAATAATAATCTCCGAGTGCAGAGAGTTAAATGTCTGAAAGAAATAGAGTTTCATTATTAAATGTGTCTCAGATAGTTGAACTTTCCAATAATCCCTTTCACACAACTATGTCAATTTAATAATTATTCATTCGTCTCACTAATTACACCGTCTTACGCAATAATTACTAGAATATTTTTTCTCGCAAATCAACTACTCGCAAGAGGAACGTCGATGACAATTAATATCGCGAACAGCCTGTATACTTCTATAATATTGGTCATTCCCAAGAAAAAAAAAAAAAAAAAAAAAAAGAAAAAATAAAAATAAAAATAAACGAACTAAGGTGCGCTTAACTCCGTTTTTTATGCTATCTAAAAGTATGCTCCGTTTTCAAACAGGATTTGATTCGCTAAAAACGGGCCGGTGTGTAATTATGCGAATACATATGTGTATGTGGCGTGCGTGTGTGTTTGTGCATTACATTCTAGACAAAAATATTCCTAGCGAAAATTCGAGTGTACAATAAAATTCGTCATCTAGTTGTGTGGTTGACGAACGTTGAAAAAGTTCGGGCGCTGGATCGGAGATTGATTCCTCAGATGCTTTTTCTTTTTTTTTTTTTTTTTTTTCGAAAAGTGACCTAGATTCGCGCGGGGAAGAAAGAGAGGATCATTGATCAAGAGTTGGGTAGTTGCTTGGTGTACTTGAGAAAATTGTGAACGTGTCGGAGCTTAAAAAGAGAAGGAGTGAAAGAGAAAAGTGCGAGAAAGTGAGATAACAACGAGGGTGAGAGAAATTCGAACCAGGCACACAGATCTCACGATGCATAAAGTAATGACGAGGGTGAAAAACTTCGTTCGAACTTTTCTGTACAATTTTCTGTACTCCGTTGTTTTGCCAATTATACACGAGACATCGCTTCGTGATACACGTGTCACGTATAAATTGTCAATTTATTTTCAAAGCTTCTTGTCAAACATACTTTTCTCGATATAATCAGCAAAAATGTTCGGAGTGTATTTCGTACATATGTACACGCAGTACGTAAATGCAGATATCTAAAGTCACATCTATAAGATCAAACGCACGTACATGTGTTCGTATGAAATGAAAAAGTTCTAGAGATATAGACTAGGTGAGAAAGACAATCACAGAAGCAATTGCAGTGTTCTGTGAGAATGAAAGAAACTAGCGAGAGTGAACACTGGCAAACATACATGATGGGGAGATTAGATTGAAGTAACAAGGAAAGAAAAATGAAAAAGTACTTCAAACACACAAACAACAAGCGCATCGCAGAAGAACAGTATACACAACACTGGCAGGAAACAGATTGTATTTACACGCAATTTCATTCGAACTTCGTTGTTTTAAAGTCAAGAATTGGATTAAAAAAAGAAGAAAAAGAAAAAAAGAAAAGAAACGAAAGGAGAAAAGACAAAAGGTTGCAATGGAAACATTTTGTATGTACAATCATATCCTATTTACGAGTGCATCTTACATATAACACTTTGCATCTACGGCTTCAGAAGAGAAAAAAGAAAAGAAAAAAAAGTAAAAAAAAAAAAAATAAAATTGGTTTCACATGCTAGACAGCAAGTACAAGAACAGTACTCTAGGAAAAACCAGTACTCTCAACGTTCTACGTAAGTATCTGTGGCTACTTGAAATGTCGAAATATAGAAAAAAACTCACTTTGAGCAAAGACTGTATTTGCGAGAAAACAGAAAAGCGTCTAAATTAGTTGAATAAGTTCGACTGCAGATGCAGACAGAAAGAATGTTTTAATAATTAGTAGAGAAAGGAAGAGTTACGTGGACGAGAAAGAGAACACGGGGTCAGAAAAAAATCAGAATAAAAAGAAAGAAACCAGCAACACAACGATAGAAAAATATTATATGGAGCAATCCAAGGGACTCGAA